CAGCAGTGCAGTGCAGCAATGCGGAATTTGGTGTGATTCAGGTAATTTTAATTTATTATAGGCACCTTCTATTAATCATTGATATTACAATTGCGAAAGGGAGAAATAATATTACAACATGGCATTTTGGAGACCTTTTGAAACGGAACCAAAACGAAATTTACTATCAATATAATAAAATTGTTTGAGGACATAAATAATTAAAATATGCTGTTAGCCAAATGAGCATATAATAGGAATTTTCCACACATTAAATACAAATTATTATAATTTTTTACCTTTAGCAGAAAACTTTTTTAGGGACGCGTATGAAAGTCCTTAAATTTTATTGCCAGGCGTTTTTTTACATGTTCAACTGACTTCGGAAAGACTATATCTCTAATGAAATATGGAATGCTGCCAAGAAAATTATGCTACATTTGTGTGCCAAACTTAGATATTTCGGTCTTGATCCTAGTACTGTTAACTTTTTTCACTCCCACTTGTCTGGATGGCGCCAAAAAGTTGTTTTTAATTGAATCTCTTCCGCTCTGAGAAATATAGGCGTGTGGTGCCATACTGCGGATCTTTATAATATAGTAAAACTTATCAATATGCGGATGACTTCCAATTATATTTTCACTCTTTGTTAGGATTCTTCGGTTAAAAAAAATTAATTATGATATAAATAGTATTGTATCGGTATCTCATGCATATGGTTTCATCTTAAGTGGCGCGAAAACTGTGGTATTTGTTGTTGGTAAGCATAAAAACCTAATTAGTTCAGTTCAAAATTTCTGTAAATGGAAGTGTAAAAACTTAGGGGTCTATATGGATGAGAACCTTAGATTTACTAAGCATGTTAATTTCTTAATACAGAAATCCTATGCTAAATTACGATCATTCCATATACATAAAGATTATAACGTCGCATATTAAATTAAGATTATATGATTCTTTAATTCTGAGAAATCTTGCCTACTGTGATACTGTTGGCCTGCCATTCTAAACACGGATAAGGAAAGCTTACAAAAAATATAAACCGCTTGTATTAGATTTTCATATAGTCTGCGCAAATTTGATCACATTAGCTCAAAATTTAAACAATCTAAATGGCATAATTTAGATGAAAGAATGGCGTCAACAAAATTTAGGAACAGTTTTGAAACCTTCCTCATCTGAATGAATTGAATGTCAAATAATTTATGTGTATTGTATGTTGTTTTTTTTCAATATAGGTATATTTTTTATTAATAAGGCAATATGCAATAAAATTAAAAGTGTCACTTTTGACGAGATCCTAAAAAAACAATGTTTGTATCACGGAAAACGAACCAGCAGTTTTATTTTTTTAGCCAGACAATTTACTGTTATTTCCGAAACAAACTGCCCTCTAAATTACAGATTTTTTGCCCGTAGTCATATTCCACTTGAGCATTCAAATGTATGGTTCACCTCGTGTACGGGCGTTGCTTCCATTTGTAAAGGGCATTTATAAACGTACTTCGGGAAATTTGTGTGAAAATGATAAAGTGCGCTTGCAGTTGGGGCTTGTTTATATTATAAATGTCATGTGCATGCACCTCTTTGTAGTTTATCTGATTTACGTGGTGTAAAGCGGATAGGGCTGTAACCGGAAAATGTATTAATAAATATATGCGTTACGATCAACTTTATACCTTTATATCTATAAAGTTTAAATGTGTTTTCAAACTGAAAACCATTTAAAATGATTTATATGGGTTTTTAAAATATGAGGGTAGAGTTTAAACATGGAATAGGGCAAAGATTATGGTCAAAATATGTGTTAAAATGCTAATGAATGGTAGTCTATAAAATGGCGAATGCGCTAGTCCAAATAAATACAAATGAATGTTATGGGCATAAAATAACGTTACACTTTTACAGTCAAATTAAAAATGATCGAAAAATGGAAATAATAATATATCTAAAACACTTGTTTATAAAATTGTTCAAAATTGTGATATTTAAAATAATATGTGATTGTTGATAAAGTACGGTCTTATAGAAATCCATGCTTTTTAAAATGAGGTAAAAATGAAACAGTGTTAGTCATCCCTTAAAACTACCCCTTACGCAACATGTAGGATTTAAATAATACTGCAGAAATTAGTGTCCAAATGCCGTACGTCTAGATAGATATCTCGAAAGGCTTTTAAGATACTTATCTCAAAAGATATGACATTTTCTAGTTTTATTTAAAACAATTAATTTATAATATTTTCGATGTATATCCGCTCTGAAAATAACTGGACAGAAGGGGCACCCTGTCGATAGTTATTTCAGCTATAAAATAGTTGAATTCAATCAATCAAATATTGTGGAAACTCTTGAACAGAAAAGTATTTCTCTAAAAATTACTGAATTAGCATACAGGGTTAAAACTTTTTAATTATCCAATGTGTCTTTCTTATTTTAAGAGATATAGAAATAGTTAAATGACCAAGAATGTGCAGAATTTTATATCTCCGGATTATTCGAAATTTTCTAAATTTAAAGACGAATCCGTTATCGGCAAAATTCTGCACATTTTTGTACATTTAACTATTTATGTATTAGGCCAACTAATAGAGCATTAAGTCAGTGATTTTTTGACAAAAATAGTAGGAGCAAACGGATGTGCCATCATATAAAAGACAGTCTGTAGATATATGCTTATATGTTTCCTACTCCAATTTACCATTAATTAATTTTTTATAAACATTTTTATGCAAAAAGAGCATTTTTTAGTTTTTTTTAATTATAAAATCTAAACTAACAAAGCAATATAAATGAGATAAACAGACAATTTGTAGAGACTCGAAATATGAATAAAACTAGAGGTCGATCAATCCGATCGGAGAATTAGAAACGAAGAAAATCCGGAAAAATCGGAAAATTTAACATTTTTTTAAAATTCCTCACTCAGCCATTTTTTAAGTTGTAGAGCTGACGCTGTGCACAAAAGTAGTGAATTATATAAGTGCGCACAAATCAGACGCTGTCGGATTATTAGTTTTGACACAATTGCAATTTGAATATTTTGGTACACTATTTTGCAAAGTTTCTGGATGTGTTGGACATATTTTCCGATAAAATGATGCGAAATAGGTGAAAAATTCCTCCAAACATGCTCAAAAACGGCTCCCGACCTTCCCTCACTACCCGACCGCGTACGCGCGCTCGGCTATTCTTGAGCATGTCTAGAGGAATTTTTCACCTATTATCCATCATTTTATCGGAAAATTAGAATATACGTTTTGTAGTATTATACTTCTACTTTTAAAATCCGGCTGAAAAATTAAAATCGGACCACCTACAACACATCCTGAACGCAAGATACTGCGCCAAAAAATTTCAATTTCTCTCGTTTCATTCGTATTTCGATTCTCTACAAATTGTCTCTTTATAGCATTCATATTGCTTCATTAGTTTAAGTTTTATATGCAAAAAACTAAAAAAAATGCGTTTTTTACATAAAATTCTTTATAAAAAAAATTAATTAATGGTAATTTGAAGTAGGAAACATATAAGCATATATCTACAGACTGTCTTTTATACCTATGATGGCACAGTCCGTTTTTTTAATAATATTTTCGTCACAAACAAACCTCTACTGATTAGCCTATATATGTATATTAAAATAAAAAGATACCCATTGGACATTTAAAAAGTTGCAACCCTGTATAAACATTAAATGATTTCTTGTAATTTTGCCAGTTTTGCTATTTTCATTTACGATATTGGTTACAATCACTGACTAGTCAGATCATGAAACGCTAATATTTTAATTATTTAATAATTATTATTTTATCCAAAAAGTATTTCTATGTCGATACTAAATAAACATAGCAAACTGACATAAATTTCCTTCATTCTGGCTATTTACAATACAAAAGTATGGAACAACAGTAACAAAATCCTATAATAATTAATATGAATCACTTAAGTACACAAATAAATAAGTATCACATTACAGTTATTTCTACAAATCTATCTCCATTTCTATTGAAAGTTAATAACAAAACTTTAACTTTTATAATAATTATTACACTTTTACAATATATCAAATTAATATATATCCCTACAACTAATTCTAGATTAAGCAATGTTTATATTGTCGAATTATTTACAAATGGGTATATTAAATAAAAAAAACGTTTTAGAAGATAGTTAATATCGAACGGATGACAAGAATGTATTACAAAGGATGTACGATTTAATAAAGTGATCAGAAAAATACCCGCTGCTAGTTGACATTGTCTTAATAAGTTTGGCAAACTTTAGTATTAAATATTTGTATACAATATACAATTATTTAATAATTGCGTAGATTAGAATTTTGGGAATCATCGAGAAATGAAAACCTCCGTTGTAGTATTATGTTTTTCTAAAAGGAAAATCCTTTTTTCTGATGGCATAATCAAACCAATAGAAAGAGCGTCTAAATGTACACTAAATTAAATAACATTATTATATTATTGACATATTCAATAATGTAAGCAACTAATCTCTTTCCTTATAAATAAAATACAAAATTGATATATAGAGGCAATAAATATTTATAGGGGTATATCATGTATTATTCTTTGCAATATTCGCCATATTTTTAATTTAATGAAAAATGTTGGATTGGAAACCGTAAAAAATGTTTTTAAATCAAAGAGGTAACTGATGATTCAAATATTTACAAGATTTCTTTTCTTTTTCATGAACTGTAGTATTATTTTCAAAAAAAATAATGTATGTACATACTCGTAAATTAAGATTTTTCGAGTTACTGCACCATTTAATACATTTAGATAACTATATATCGTACCAACTTTTACGAATCCGTTTTGACGTTTCACAAATATACCTTTGCGACCCGTATAACAACGATATCATTCCCGAACTCGAATCAGAGCTATTTTCGTCAGTGGCCAAATGCATTTCTTGAATACTGTATTCACCTTCCGTCGCATTAATTAAAAATAAATCGTTAAAGGCGATCCATTCTCCTACTTACGCGGTCGCTATCATTATGTGACGTTCTTAAGAATCCAAGGAACAAACTTTGATATCCTGGTGCATACCCCGGGGAGGTTCGCCTCGGCACAGCCGATGCCCCAGGAGATGATGCCGGCCAGGAAGTAGTGGCCGTCCTTTCCCTTTACCTAAAATGAAAAAGAAAATTGCATGTAAACATGTTATTCCTTAGATATAGCGTGTTGGTAAAAAACATCACAAGCTAGGTCCTTAATCATGTTTTGATGACAAAGGTGGGTATTCAGGTTATTTTAAGCAAAAAATTGTTATGAATATGTGTCCTAAATGGCCTGTTTTCGAAATATAAAATGTTAAAGATATGGAAATATTTATTTTATTTCTTTATATATTTGTTGCAAAGAAGAAAAAGATAATTATATAGAAAACATAGGGTTAATAAAGATCTGCAAATAAAATACAAATAGAGACAAACTATACGTTTCAAAATATTAATAAAAAATTAAAATATGGCATAAAATATAAAACAAGGAGTGTTGAACTTCAGTGTAAAATATTTAAAAATTTAGACTAATGTTGAAAATTATTAAAATTTACATTAAAAATTTCGTTAAATATAAATAGCACAATCTATTTTTATTTTATATTGTATATCATTTAAATGTCTTACATGTGAAGGTAAATATTGAAAAATTGTATTCTGAAAGAATATGTAAATTTCTTTTGTTTTTTGGAATCTAAAAATCTGATACTAGGGGTCATTTATCCCATCTAGTGTTAATGCAAAAATTATCCAAATTGTCTTTAATATACAGAAGGCTCTGAAATATGTAAATAGATAGAACAGTCAATATTTAAATCAACAAATATTTTTTTTTCAATCCGTATCATTGTCCACACATATACATACAGCTTTTCGCCGTACTATAAGGTACGGTAGGTAAGGTAAGGTCGTTGAGTGAAAAATAGTACTCAACGGTAAGATAAAATGAATCAGACTGTGATATGAGGTTTTTAATGTCGGTAAGAAAACTTTATTCACTAAGCTTCGGAGACGATAAAGAAATTTTAAAACTTTTTTTGGATATACAGGATGTCCCGTTCATATTTAAAAAAACTTATGTGCAAGTTCCTGATGGGAAAATAATAGGGGTAGTTCATTTATAGTTTTTTTTCTGAGACGCCCTGTTTTCGAGATACAGTGTGTTGAAGTTGTTACTTTCCAAATGGTTTTCCTTAATTATCTTTAAATCGGCTAAAGATAAAAAAGTCAAAATTTGTACAGGAGTAAACATCAACTGTGCGTTAAGAATAATGTGGAGACGGTTTCTTTCTGAAAAGCAGTGTCGCCGATACAGGTAATTGGAGGGGTACAATCGAAAAAAAAAGTCGAAATTTGTTACATTTCTAAACGGTTCTGTAAACTCTAAAGCATACTACAAAGAAAATGTATACTTGTCGAAATTCCATTTTAGAGAAAAATGAAGTTGCATAGAAGCAAATGGGGGACAATTTCAGTATCTACTGTAGTATTTCGAATTTTGCTCATTCACTTAATTATGCAGCTGTTTCTTTCTGTATGTCTCCGAGTCTGTTTCCTAATATTTTTCTGTTCTTATCACTTTTTTCATTCATGTCCATCAACAACTCAGTTCTTTAAAAAATTATTGTTTAATTTAGTAGTGGTAGTGTAGTAGTTTACAAAATCTAAAATTAGTTATTAAGGGCGCCATATTCTTTAAATAGTGTTTTCCACAAATACAAATAATTTCAAACATTTAATAACTGAATAATCCAAAGCTTATCAAATAATAGGAATGTTATGTCATCCACCTGGGTATTTTCAAAGACGCCGCAGTAAAACGAATAAACAGGTGCAAAAAACGATCAAACCATCAAGGTTTTAGGTACTGAAATCTACGAAAATACTAACTTTTTTATATACAACTCCACATGTAAATATTCTTATAACATTTACTTGCTTAGTCCTATATATAAAATTGTTTACTTTTATTTATAAGTACGTGAAAATAATTCTTAAAATGTGGGGTTAGAATAACAGCAAACGCATGTTTTATAAACGCTTTTTTTCAAGTTATTATTTTATTTGAGTTAATTTAAATAGTAACAGTGAATAAACAGAATATCAAGGATTTTATTTTTCTGCTTACTTTTGTTCTACACGTTTTACTTTTCAAGATTTCAGTAAGTACCTAAAAACGCCAGAAATTTGACTATTTCTCGGCCAGAGATATGTCCACCTTAATAGATAATTAATTACCATAATTTGTTTATTTTAATTTACTTTTATAAATATTAGTTTACAACAAGCAGAAACTTAAAGTAAATTTAATTTTTTTTTTAGTGAATAAAATATTTTAAAATTTAACTGTTTCATGTGATACGTAAGAAATTAAAATTATAGTCTTAAATTCAAATACTGTTGATAGCTAAATGTCTTCAGCTCATTCAATGGTAAAGTCCCTTTCAATTTAATATTTTGTTAATGTACTTGTGCCGCTTTATGTGAGCAAAAAAATGCAACTTCATTTTCTTCGACTTTTCACCTTTTTTTTCCGATTGTACCCCTCCAATTACCTGCATCGGCGACACTGCTTTTCAGAAAGAAACGGTCTGCACATTATTCTTAACGCACAGTTGATGTTTACTAGTGTACAAATTTTGACATTTTTATATTTGGCCGATTTAAAGATAATTAAGGAAAACCATTTGGAAAGTAACAACTTCAACACACTAGGTATATCTCGAAAACAGGGCGTCCAAGAAAAAAACTTTACCTGGACTACCCCTATTACTTTCCCATGACGAACTTGTACTTGTAACTTTTGAAACATGAACGGGACACCCTGTATAATCAGTATGATGATTCCATAATAGTTTCGATCCATAAAAACGCCAAGAATTTTGACATTGTCAGGATTACTTATCTTTTCAGGTTACGAAGGTTGAGAATCATTGTTTCAGTCCTGGACATGTTAACAGTCAATTGTTACTGACAAAACAGTCGTGTGCTAATTATTGCCACAAAGTTATTTCAGTGAGTAAAACAAATAAATTTGATTTTGCTGTAGTAACATTGGTATCACCTGTTAAAAGTATACTTAAAATACTACTATCAAAAATGTTAGATAGATCATTTACATAAATTAAAAAAGTAAAGGTCCCAAGACCAAACCTTGCTGAACACCAAGATTTCACGGGTATGCAAATATCTCTAAAAATATTTATAACGAAAATTAATAAATCTTTGTCTCATAACTCAACTAAATAAAATTTAGTGACATTGTATATGTAGGTAATTACATCAACCGGTGGCGGAAATGTTAGGAAATACCGCCACTAAGTTTAAGAACCCCAAAATGTTTTGAAAACTTAACGATTTGATTTCTAACTGTATTAGAAAATGTAGTTTAATTTCGAGTTATTAAGTTTAGAATAAATTTATTACACAGTTCACTAAATTGAATATAATTCAAAAATTGTTCATTCCAAAACAAATATGAATATTGTTAGAAATATTTTTAAATACAATGTTACTTGTTAATAACTTGAGAGTACAAAAAAATCGTGTTGGCATTGGAACATTGAATTTTCTCAGGCATAGGAAGTAACATATCTACGCCACAGATTTTTTTGAGCGTTTAATTATTATTATATTTGGAATTATACTTGCAACAAAATATCCTGTAATTTTTTTTCAAAAATTTTAGTGTCACTTAAGTGTGTGGTAAATTTAATTTAGCATAAAAAATAATTACCCGAAATTGAATGTTTATGCACTCTGATGCCAAAATTATAAAAATAATTAAATGCATACAAAAATTACCCTGTGGCACTTTTTTGTTGTTCGTTGCGAAGATAAAATTCAATTTTTTAATTTATTACTTCGTCTCATTTCCCATCGAGAAATACATTCTATAAATTCCTCATATTTTTTCCAAGCCTTCAGTTAACAGAAAATTATATACGCTTACCTGCAAGGGCCCTCCTGAGTCTCCCTGGCAGGAATCCTGACCACCACCCTCGTGTCCAGCGCAGAGAAAGATTTCAGGAATGAACTCATGCCTTCCTGCTCGTAAAAACATACTCTTGCATCGGTCGTTGCTCACTATGGGAACTTGAACCTGCAACATTAAGGGAATGATTTGCAAACATACGGATATAACAAACAGGTTGTTTTTGTGCTGAATTGTGTGATATGGTTTTTGTTGGTGTGTTTACATTTGGGGAAATAATAGGGTTAACGGCTACCCATTAATAACCGTTCTTGCCAAGTGTTTCTCAGATGAGATTAATCGCTGCGAATAGCTTGTAACAACGCTAATTTATGTTAATTCTAGCTTATTATATTAAAATGGTGCAACAGATTCTTTAAAATTCTGAAAGAAATCTGCATAGGCTTAAACACTTTTCCCTGAAATATTAGGAGATTCAAAATTTGTTAATAATGACCTCAGAAAACGAAAATAGTTAACTAGAAAGAACTAACACAACAGAGTTGTCATCATAAATAATATTTCACAAGGAAAAAATTGCCCTGTAAGAAATTACTACGTATTCATATACGTAGTAATTTACGTACTATCATTAGTGGTTTTCCATTTTGTGTAAAAAACTGTTACAATTTTAATCATGATTGTACAAAATGTGTTTTCGTACAATTTGACAAAAAAAATTATTACTTCTATTGCAGCAAAATTACAATATTGTTCTATTGAATTATACGATTTACATCTACCTCCGTTTTTGTTGATGTCTATAATAATAACTAAACAAAAGAACTTTTTTCGAATAGTTGATGTTTCAATAAGTCAAGGATATTAAGTAAGTACCATTCTTTATCTTATTAATTGGAGTTGCAACAATTTAATTGTACTGGAATAGTTGTACTGTGTATATCATTATGTTTTCCGACTGTTCCATAAATTCAAAGCATTTTTTGTAGATCTTGGTTTATACCAAAACATAATAGTTTTCAACATACATTTTTTTTATTTAAAAAAATAATGCTCTATTTGCAGGTATTGTTATGAAACAAACACGTTTTGTTTAGCATAAGCAAAAAGTTTAGGAGTGACTTTTCTCATAAAAATAATTGTATAAAGTCTTAAGCTAATTTTTCGAAAACTCATTTCATTATTAAAGGAATTGCATAACCTCAAAAATATATATTTCTTTAATATTTAGCTATAATTTTTTCCAGTTAATTACGTTAAAGAATAATAATTATAAAATAAAAATAATGATAATAAAATCAATAACGGATGTAAATACATTGTCAATTATTTTTTAAATTCGTAATTACTAGACAGATAAATTGACACAAAGAAACTTTCACACTTGTGCTTCAAGCATTTCATTAAAATTGTATTCTCTATGAGAATTGTTGAGCTATGAAAATTGAAACTTATTTTGACATGGAAATTATTTTCTGTTATTTTTCTAAATAGATTACAAATTTGAGTTATAAAAAGTGAAAGTTATAATAAACAAAAGATCCTCATCCACAACATGTAAATCATTAAAAATATTAATAGAAGGTACATCAAATTTTTCAGGTGAAATACTTTAAAGATCTTTTTTTTTAGTTTCATTAATTATTCTCTAATGCAACATCGAGATTTCTATAAAAATGGAACGTTAAAGAGCAGATTCATCGAGTCTCACGCTAAAGCACCTGACAAATTAAATTTTACACCAGTCGAAAAAAGAACAAAAGTTCAAGGCGTGGATCAATACCCAATTGTTTTTTTTTTCTTCTTTTCATTCATCTTGATAAAATAACGAGGGATACTGCGTCTCACGATTTAGTAGGTCTGTTGTACGCTCCTTAATTTTAGATAGTGTAGACCATTATCCTACATTATTGCTTCTCCCTAGGGATAACTTGGAGGACAATGGAGTCAGTAATTATTAAGATAAGGGTCATTTAAGGACTAACTGGTTTTATTCTAGTAGTAAGTAAACATACGTTACCAGTGACCCCAAAACAGGACACTAAAATAGTTACTTTAATACTCATGAGAAAACTGAAAAATGTCATATTCTTAAATTAATTTTAACAATGCTTAAACATTTCCACGTAGTTTACATCGATAGGATACAAGAGTATTCAAAACTGCTTGGTCGTCCGTATACACTTTTGTCTTTTTCAGTGTATATTGCAATTGTTTTGAAACGCAGGATGTTTTTGTAAATCTGTGTGGTTCTTTAATTCCATAAGTTCGCCTGTGTATTGACCAATGAGGTGGCAACATAGAACACTTACTGTTGTTTCATGTGGAAATATAATGTGTTATTCCTCTCAACTCCAGTAGTTCAGAACAGGTTTGCACTTCTGTTTTGAATAACGTCAGTAGGTATTTAATATTATATGTTTTCCTTGTTTGGATAACATGGTTGTTGAAGATATTTAATACACGATCAGAGTTATAAGAAAATTTGAATTAATTCATACATTTGTTAAAAATCACCACAAAGACTCACCTCTTGCAGTACAGATGGCAATGTTCCACCTTCACTTAACCTTCCCCATCCCGTTACGGTCGCATTTTCTCCTATCAAGAGATCATCGGAAGCCGGCAAACAGATCGGGGAGATGTGGGGTGCAAAGTCCAGAGGCTTGTCCAGTTGCACAAGGGCTAGATCGTACTCGTACGTGAAGAAGTTGTATTTGGGATGGACTACTTTCTTGGCCACAGCTCGCTCGACATAGGGCAGCTCTTCTTGTATGCTGGAGAAGTCGTATTCGCCAACGCGGATTCGGATCTGGGAGGTGAGAAGGCTGAAAAAGAACAGAATTTTTAGAATATTTATTTATTTAGTTTACACTATCCAACAGTACTGAAACCATTTATAGAATGGGGAAAAACAAACATAATTACATGAACGACAAATATACCAAGAAACAAGATACAAAATATGTTATAAGAAACATTTATAAGCTTTTTATTTTAATGTAGACTGAAATATTGTCAAATTTTATACACAAATTTATCAGAAATATAAAATAAAAAACTAGGTTTTTAATATAGAAGTGATTATATTAATCATGTTATTTCTGTTAGACACTTACACCAATATCACAAAAAGGTTTATTTTTCGCATTTTTCAACTTAAGCCAGGTCTACTTTTTAGAAATACTTATTCATACAGAGAGAATCTTAACTAAGCACACATGCATTTTAAATATGGGTAAGATCCACAATGTAAATGGGTCCAGTGAAAACAATTTATTAATATTATAAATATTTACGGATTATTAAATATATATTATTACCTTTATATTTATTTAACTTTCAATTTAATTTATTTTGTTTATTATGTATTTGTTTGTATTATAGTGTATAATTTTTGTAATGTTATTTGTGTGGTTTGCTCCAAATAGTGGAATGAATAATTTGTGTTGTGTAATATTTGTTGTTGTAGAATGTAATTTGTTTGTATTGAAATTAATTTTTATTGGATGCAGGTTCTCATGACAAAGTTAAGCAATAACAATAACAAATTTCATCGAATTATACTTTTCTTACCTTGGTTTTGCTTATCTTTCCTCCGGCAGCTTATCTTGCATAAATAATATTTACAGTGTACACTTTATTACAGTGTAGATAGGAATGTTCAGTAATCAATGATACACTGTCTCTCAAAAACACTTATTCAGAATACTAGCATGAGTTCTTATCTCAGAGAAGCGGTTCAATATTATTCAAATTTACTATCACTATAGATTTGAGTAGGAAGCAATGAATGAAGGCAAATTTTTAACGATTTTAACAATGTGACATTTATTGATTATTCATTTTAAAATCCGAACAATGTTTTAAAGAAACACAGAAACTGGATATGTTATGGACTTTTACATGAATAAATAACTGATAAAATTTTCTTATCTCTACCTAACTTAATTTTGAAAATATTTGGTTAACCAATTTGTATTGTTTTAAATGTATTACGAAACAAATTAACTTAAATTAAGAACACAGAAACTTAACTAATCCTTATACTATGAAATGTTCTAAAATATGATTTTAATTTCTATTATTATTATGGCTTAGTTGCGGGAAATGCATCAAGAGCAAAACGTTTGTATGGAGATCCATTTCCAAATAGAAGAATTCCACGACCGCAGTTGTTCAGTACTGTCCATCAGAGATTAGGTGAGTTTGGCTCTTTTAAGACGAGGTGGTTTGATGTCGGTCACCCACGACGAACTCGAACTCC